ATTTCAAGTATATCCTTGCCTATTAGCCTGACCATGACACAGTTTTAAAATAACCCTTTTTATAAAAAACGAAACATTGCATAACTATTGAATTACTTCGCATGTTGCATTATTTTCTCAAAAACCAATCTCCTTCACACTAATGCAAAACGAAGGCTAACAGAAGCTATAAATATGGGCAAAACGGAGCTGGGTGCGGTGTGACCAGTCATCTGAAGCTTATCATATACGAGAGGTACCAAAAAAAAACGGAACTATTTTTTAAAAGCTATCTATAATATATATGTATATATATATGTCTGACAGCTCCTCCCTAATTTTTTTCTTGACCTCCCCAATGTCGTCAAAGCGGCATCTTTTCATGCCCTTTTTCATCCGTGGAAATAAGAAAAAATCGCACGGAGCCAGATCAGGTAAATTAGGTACGTGAGGCAGCGGAATCATGCCATTTTTAGACAGAAACTGTCGAACAGAGATGGCTGTGTGCGCAGGTGCATTATCGTGGTGGAAGAACCAGTCTCCTGACTGCCACAAATCGGGACTTTTTTGCTGAGCACTGCTTCGGAATAGTCTTACGACCTCCAAATAGCACAAGCTCTCGTTTCTTTCAACATCTTCGTCGATTCGGGCAGTTAATGAACGTCTAGAGCGAGGTTTGTCATCAATCGACATATCGACATTTTTTAATCGAGCAAACTACTCGTACATCTGAGTTTTTCCCATAGCATTATCTTTGTAAGGTATTTTACCAAATAGAAAGCAAAATTTCACAGCTGCCCGTTGCTCAATGAAGCTTGCCATCGTAAAAACAAAGCAAGCTCGAAACAGCTCTAGCATAAATAATGACTACAGAGAAACGAAACAAGCCAGATCGACAACTCAGGTGGCTCTGAACTGGTAATGAGTTGCGCTGTACTCCTCTAGGGGCAGACATGTGTACTACGCAAGCTCCGCCCCCTGCAATGCTATTCCGACTATTTTTGGGTACCTCCTCGTATAGTGTTTCGTAAGCCATAATGAATGGCCAAAGGAGAGAAGAAAATAACAAATGTTCTTGTGTCACCTTTAAACACTTTAGCGAGTTTATCCATGACAATAGGTCAGAATAAAGTTTTCCTGTTATGTTTCGCCCTTTTTGCTTAAGTCGTCATTAAATTCTGCTAGTATCCCTACGTAAGTCATTAAGCTGCTTTTCTAATTCCTGGTCCTAATGATGTAGATACTTCTGCTAATGAATGACGCCAATAAAGCAGCGTTTCTTCCCTCTCTTTCGCATTCATCACATCACAACTTTTCTGCCACTACGCGTCAGTTTTCATTTTATGCACAAAGAAGTCTTTCATCTATAAAAGTTCGCATATTAAAAACCTTGAAAATAATAGGATTTTCATAATAAACACTAGCGCAATCTTAGCATAGTAACGAGATGCTGTTTATTTTGGAAAACCGAACAGCCGAAGAATGGTTCGTTCATCGTTTCCAAAAAAGAGGTTCTAAGTAAGTTTCAGGGTATCAAAGAAGCGGTTTAATAATAACCTCAGATACGACCAAGACAATACCCTCAGAGATTAACTTTGTAAATTCAAATAACTACCGCTATTTTTGAAAAGTATCGAGCAGCTAAAGGGTGATTTTTTTTGCTAGTATCTTTTTGGCAACACTGTTTTTGTCAGATGACGCGTGAATGGTGTCTCGTGTCATTGTCAAACTTGTTCAGTTTGGTCTATAATTCAACCATAAATCGACTTACGAACGAACAACGCTTGCAAATTATTGAATAAATTATTGAATTTTACTATCAAAATTCATGCTTGTTTAAGAGAGTGCATCGAGCACTGCTTCCAATTTATGGACAATTTGGTCGGCCTACTAAGGGAGCTATTCGGAAGCTTGTGACTAAATTTCGAACCCAGTTTACATTATTGGACATTAAACCACCAACACGCAGACGTAGAGTGAGGACTGAAGAAAATATTTCGGCTGTATCCGCCAGTGTTAGTGATGACCGTGAAATGTCGATTCGCCGTCGTTCGCAGCAATTGGGCCTCTGTTACGCCACTAAGTGGAAAATTGTGCGACAGGATTTGGGTGTAAAACCTGATAAGATACAGCTGGTGCAAGAACTGAATCCACACGACCTCCCAAAACGTTTCCCATTTGGTGAATGGGCGCTGCCAAAGTTGGAGGAATATCCACATTTTTATCGAAAAATTGTGTTCAGCGACGAAGCTCATTTCTGGTTGAATGGATACGTTAACAAGCAAAATTGCCGCATCTGGAGTGAAGACCAGCCAGAAGCATTGCAAGAGCTACCAATGCATCCCGAAAAAATTACTGTTTGGTGTGGATTATGGGCCGGTGGCATCCTCGGGCCGTACTTCTTCAAAGACGACAATGGCCGGAACGTAACTGTGAATGGCGAGCGCTACCGCGCGATGATAACAAACTTTTTTTTGCCCAAAATGGAAGAGCTGGACTTGGCTAACATGTGGTTTCAATAAGACGGTGCCACATGCCACACCGCACACGAAACAATGGCCCTATTGATAGGCGAGTTCGGTGAACAGTTTATCTCACGTTTGGGGCCCGTCAATTGGCCGCCTAGATCGTGTGATTTAACGCCGTTGGACTATTTATTGTGGGGCCATGTTAAGGCTAACGTCTACAGGGATAGACCAGCAACGATTGACGCACTGAAAGCCAATAGTGAAGCATTTATTCGTGAGATACCGGCCGATATGTTGGAGAGAGTGTGCCAAAATTGGACCTTGCGCATGGGCCTTCTAAAGCGGAGCCGCGGCCAACATTTACATGAAATAATCTTTAAACATTAAATTATATCGACCGTTCTATCGACTCAAATAAAGATTTAATCGTTTTTTAAAATTTTTGGTGTTTTTTTTAAAATCAAATCCTATACCTCTTAAAAAATCACCCGTTATAATATACTCTCGACAACTATGCATTTTTGGAATGGGGTTCAGAGATCAAAAGGAATGTCGATACGACATCTACTGCAGTCTAACCATACAAGATGACGATAAGTCGGCACGTTTTTGGGAAGTTCGATGACTTTTCAGACGACAATAGGTCATGCTGATTACACCGCTCTTGACTACCTGACCTCAAGTATGGAAAAGTATTCCGATGTAGAATATCCAACCCGACACGAATCTGCTGTCAAAAACAGTGGTTGCTATTTGAATTTACAAAGTTGACTAACAACTAACCTGTGAAGTCATTGTCTAGGTCATATCTGAGGTCATCGACAAATTGCTTATTTGATACCCTGATGCTTTTTTTTCAAGAATTTTTGAGATATCCGTGTCTGACGTTACAGTAGGTCATACTATTTGATCTGCTTATGACCGCTTGACCTCATGTATGTAAATGCACTTTTATGTAGAATCTCGAGCTCGACACGAGTTTGCTGTTACCTCTGAGGTCATTGTCTAGATCATATTTGTTCTTATCGACAAATTGCTTTTTCGATACTCGGATACTTTTATTGGAACATTTTTCACAGAAAATGCGTGGTTGCCAAATTTTCGAGGTATAACTGACAACCCCCAAAATGACAAATTCCAGAGGCAGTTACTCTTTTTCATGCAGCAACTTCTGCAACATATCTACATTTGTTGTCTTTACTCAAGTCCTAGGGATGCTAGAGATACTAATAAAATCAAAGACAGTACTTTTCAAAAAGGTCTTGGCTATCAATTTCTTGAATAGCTGAAATTACCAAGCTGAAATTCTGTGCAACATATTCTCCAACACAACATAAAATGTTGCGCTTTTTCATAGTAGCTTATGTCTTGACAGAAATTCAAATTATTTGTCACCTACGTGCTATGGTATCCCGAATCTTACCATACACAAAGGCAATGGTCCTTTGGACCGCTTTGACAGACTACCACGAATAGAAGAAGCTTGTTATTTCTGCAGCCTTAAACTCTATACGAATAGAGAGGTGTTTGATATTATTTATTGTATATTCGGACACCCGTGGATATATGAACTTTGCTCATTTTAAGTTTCGGTTACATTTAAAATGGATGTTTCCTAATCTCCTGCGAATTTTATTACAGACGTATTTGAATACCAAATTTGCTAAAAGGAACAATGATAATGGAAACAAGACTCAATAGCGTCAGATAATGAGAATGGATAAATTTTCCACCGAAGATTGAGAAAGATTAAAAAAGGAATGAATTATCAGGCAGGTCTGTGAGTTTGACAAAAAAAGTCCGTTTAAAAGGGGATCCAATGCGTAAGAAATTGTGGCGGTTTTCCAATGGCTATCATGGATGCTTTAAATAGACGATACCAAATGCTTTTAAGGCCTAAAACAATCTTTTTTGGAGAGCGTTTTTATCTGAGTAAGTGAGATCGAGGTCGATATACAGGCTGTGCTGAAAGTTGTACATTTCCTCTTTTGAGATAACTGGGTTTGGGATAACAAAGGTAAATCAAACGAAAAGGCTTTTAAATTATGATCCATCTCCTCACATGATATTTAAACTTTAGCGGAACGCGACTCAATATACGAGGGATGTCTTTTAAGTTTTGAATGCGCTGCGGGGAACCGTTTTGAAAAGCACTGTATCGATTTATTGCCAACAACTAGCTTTTCTTCAGCTATAGAGTGTTCCTGTTTGTATCATATGGAAGAATGAGTTTTCATGCGGACGCGTCTCACACAATTTTTTCCTCTTCTTCAGAGCATTGTGTGAATGATTATAACAGTCAGTTTCTTCACTTTACATTTTTACCAATCCATGACGTCTACCCTCACAAAATGTTGACATTAATAAAATCAAACCAATTTGTGACTTTCCAAACCAGATGAGAAAAAGTTCTTGGATTCATCGCAGATAAAATTATCTACTGGAAGGGGAAGTATTACAATCGCGTAAAATTTCGAAAATGAGATATCATTGTTTTTGAGTGTTACGAGGGGGGGTTAAGTTTTGCATTTGGAAATAAAACAACACGGTACGTAGTTTTAAATGACTTTATTATTTTTCAAAGTATTCTCCATGAAGATTAATACACATGCGATCAAACCAATTTTCGAAGCACTTATTCTGGCAGATCCAAAACGGCATTTTTGCATACGTCAACTGCTTCTTCTGGTAACTGGAACCTTTGACCACGCAGTCTGTTTTTAATTTTCGGGAAAGTAAAGAAATCGTTAGGACTTAGATCGGGACTATATGGAGGATGGTCCAATAATTCCACGTTTTCTTCCGTTAAATACTGCCTTGTTCTTTGGGCTGTGTGCGAGCTTGCATTGTCTTGGTGGAGGATGATTCTTCTTTCGGGGTTGATTTTTCGTAGCTCGGTGATGACTTTTGGCAAACAAATGGTGGTATACCAATCCACCGTAACAGTTCTTTGCTTATTAAGAGGAACTGTTGTAATATGACCCGCTTTAGACACAAATGTCGCGAGCATCTTTTTCGAAACACTTCGAGAACGGATGACTTTTGTTGGCTTTTCTTCACCTTGGAACACCCAAACACCCGACTGTCGTTTATTTTCTGGTTCATAACAGTAAATTCACTATTCATCACCACTAACAATGCTGTACACATTTTTTCAGTTTTCGGAATTGAAACGGTCAAGCGTTTTTTGACACCAAATAATGCTGGCTGCTTTTTTGCTCTTCAGTCAACAGGTGGGATATCCAACGAGAAACTAATTTTCTTACTCCTAATTCTTCATGTAAAATTTTTTGAATTGAGGTCTTTGAAATCTTCAAGGATGCCTCAATCTCGCGATATGTCACATGTCTATCTTCAATGATGAGTTTGCGCTCAGCATCGACGTTTTCTAGGGTGACTGCCGTTTTTGGTGCACCTACCCTGGGATCGTCGCTAAGACTCACCCGTCCACGTTTGCATTCTCCATACCAACGCGAAATTGTCGAGTGATGTGGCGCTTCGTTGCCGAAAACAGACAGTAACTCAGCAAGGCATTCTTGTTGCGATAATTGTCTCTGAAAGTTGTAATAAATTATGGCTCGAAAATGTTCTCGGTTGAGTTCCATTTTTCTAATGACTTGGTGACACTTAAAAATTCACTGTAGTGAGAACACTGCACGTATTGTTGTGAAACTTTGAATTCAAGTTTACTAAAGAGTGAGGTTAAGATTCAGTACTGACGTTCGATCCGCGCATCCTACTATGTTTCTATATGCAAAACTGAAAAGACATCCCTCGTATTCAACGTCCAAGAAAATGATCTGCACACAAAGCAGCACATTGAAGGCACACTGTAAACCAGAGGTTCTGAAGCTTGTAAGCTAGTAATATAGCTTTGGTTCATCCGACCACAGACGGCCAACCATTGACAGCTCTTTCGTGCTATGTGGCAACTACTCAGCATGGTGTAACCTTGGTCTGAGGTAGGACAACAAACGAATGCTGAAAAACTGTCGTTTATCTAGAGCATGAGGTTTATCGAAATAAGACAATAGAAAGTGTCAGCGCGCAATATCAGCCGGGTCACCACTGTGACCGCTAGACGCCGCCGATTGTGGTGCTCTAGCTGCAAGGAAAAAACTAGTCTTTGACTTACCCCCCAAATCAGTTCTTCGCTCCCCCCCGTAATTTTCTCTAGTCTCTTCACTGCCCTGTAGGTCCCCAACGCCTACAAGACGGCGTTATCGTCTACTTTGAGAAAGACTGCTTCGTTATTGCTACTGGAGGAGCGTCATTTAGGGGTTCACAATTTGACTTGATTTTCAAGCAACTTGACTTGAAAGCAAGTCAAGCTCTTGTCAAGTATTAGATATTATCAATCTGATGTCGAGTCAAGTAGTCTTTACGACTGTCTGTCAAGTAATTGAAAATTGGAGTAGTCTTGATATTACTTGATATATGAGTAGATTATAAATACACAATAATGTATTCATCGTATAACAAAAAATAGAACGATAAAACTGTAAGCTCAAATAGGAAAAAAATCATCGGTTGATACAAAAAAATGTAAATCATAAATTAGCGCTTCATTAGCGTTAAGACATCTGAGGGTCCTAATGGATTTATAGTGATGATATGATTAAAAGTAATGGAAGCGACAACTGACTGTATTTTGAACCACACACCTACATATATAATAATAATTAGTTTCAAGTTATTATACATTATGATAGCTACAGATATATGGACACTCTATTTTAAGAACCTGTATATCTATGTTGTCTAATAATAATAATAGTAATAATAATAATAATGACTTTATTCAGAAGATGATCATAGTATGACGAAGTTTAGCCATGGCTACTCTACCACTTAACAATACTACAACCAGACATTACAAAACATTAGCATAACAACATGAATCAGTAGCTGTAAGGAATGCATTAAAAAGGAGTAAATATATAATATGAACATATACAAAGAAAAGAAACAAAAGAACAAGATATCGTTCAGCAAATGAATTTATCATTCAATGTGCTGAGTCCAGAAAGTGCAACTTGACTGTCTTCTTGAAGCGCTGCAAACTTAAGCTCTTAGAGATAGCTGGCAAAGAATTGTATACCTTGACCGCATTATAAGTAAAGGACCTTTCAAAGACCGACGTACGATGTATAGGAATGGAAAGTAGATCATTGTGCCGCAGATTTAGAGTAATTTGGTTTCCACGAGGATTGATTCCTCCTTACAGAGCAAATAGACGGGTTTACCAGTTTTAAAAATTCTATGCACCAATGAAGCCATAGAGTAGTTGTATAAGCCGTCAACTCTGAGCCACTGTAACTCCTTGATTTTTGAAGAAACGCTACTGTAATTCCTAAGCCCAAATATGAATCTGCAACAGTTATTCTGAAGCTTCTGCAATTTTGACTTGCAAGCTGAGTCTAGGCATGGGTAAATGAGGACTAGAGAGTAAGCTAAAATTGATAATATGAGGCTTTCACACAACTTTTTACGGCACTTAAAGTTTAGAACATGGCGACTAGAATATAAAAGCTTCATCTTCATAAAACTCGACTTTATAGTATTATTCACATGTAAGTTAAATCGAAGATTTGAATCAAATATAACACCTAGATTCTTAGCATTATCACAAAATGGAACATCTATGTCGTTGATAAACAAGGAGACTCGATTTGTGATGTTGTAATTTGAATGTTTAGGACAGTATGGTATCGCGGTGCATTTTGATGGATTGATGCAGAGACAGTGTCTATTGCAAACCGATAATACGTTATCAAGATCTAGGGTAATTTTATAGGATGCTTCATCTAAGTTGGATTCATTGAAACGAAATGTTAGCTGTGTATCGTCAGCATACATTTGAATGCAACAATGTTCTACACACTCATGCAAATCGAATGTGTATACTAGGAATAAAAGAGGTCCCAGTACTGAACCCTGTGGAATTCCTGATGACAGATACCGTGCATCAGAAGTTCCTCTAGATGTTTTCACTCTTTGGGACAAGCTGTTCGTATACTATCTTCTCCAAGACTTTCGACAAGAAACATAAACCGCTTATAGGTCTAAGATCGGCATGTTCAGACGGATTATTACTTTTGGCTAGAGGTGTGACTATTGCCTCCTTCCAGTTGGATGGGAAAACGCCCCTCTCTAAGCAAACATTAATAATATGCGTGATGTGATCAAGTATTTCAGGCAGGCATAGGCCTAGCATAGTTAGAGTGATGCCGTCACAACCCGCTGCTTCAGACTTGATAGACAAGACTGCATTCATAACTTCACGAGGGGTTACCAGACGAAAGTGAAGTGATGACACGTCGGGATCGAAGCGTCTGTTGCTGTAGCTGTTGACAGTGGATTGTACTACTTTGTGGTTTTGATCGGCAGGCATAAAAGTACTTAAAAAGGATTCGTTGACTTCACGGGGATCTAGCAGATTAAACGGTACATCAACGCGTTTCTGTTGACAGACATTCATAGATATAAGTGTTTTCCATGCTGATCGTGTACTAATATCACCATATCTAGAAAGGTAGGCCCTCTTCTCCCTACGAAAGGAAGCAAGTGTGTAATTCCGCATATCTTTGTACGTAGACCCGTTCACATCAGATGGGTCATGAGGGAAATTCAAGAGAGCTTTTTCGCGTTGCTTAAAGATGCATCTCAGGTTCGATGTTATTCATGGAGCAGCCGGTTTTGTTACACGAGCAGTTCGTAATGCCGCGTACATATCATATATTTGTATTATGCAACTAAATAGACAGCTTACTTTGTCATCAGCATCCATAAAGTAAAAGATACGATCAAGTCCAGCATGAAGTAAGTCGCCCTTGAAATTAATAACATCAATATTTTTTATATCTCTAAAAGTTACTAACTTGGGTTCAAATTTAGGAAGCTTCAGAGCAACAGCACAGAAAACTAACTTGTGGTCGGACACAAGATCAACATTAAGAACTCCTGATTTCACAACACTGTTTGAATTGCTAGAAAAAATGGGGTTTATTAAAGTTGAGCTAAACTGAGTTACACGAGTCGGTTCATTTATTAATTGATCAAAATTGAAGCTATCGAAGCAGTTGCTCAAAGGATTGTTATGATTCAAAAGGTCAAGATTTATGTCACCAAGAATTATTATATTATCAAATTGAGGTACGAAGAAAGAAAGCATATCATCAATGGTATCAATGCTATCTGTAATTGAAGTATGAGGAGGGCGATACACGACGACAATAAGTAGGGTAGTTGCCCATGCTGAGTTTGCAGCATAGCAATTCTAAAGAAGAGTCACCTACAAAATCAAGAGTATCAATAACGGTAATGTTGAAATTATTTCTAATATAGAACCCAACCCCTCGACCCCTACTCAAACGATCTCTACGGAAAAGCTGGTAGCCTTCTATAGATACAGCTTGACTAGAAATGGTTTCATTAAGCCACGTTTCGGTAACGCATATAATATCGAAATTGTTTTGAACCAATCCACAGAAACATTCGAAAGCAGTAGTCAAGGACCGCACATTGAGATGACAAATATTTAAAACTTTGTTATTAAGCCTAGCCATAGTCAATTCTGGATTTTAATTCAGCATATTTCTTTAAAAACATGGACATTGTCTGTCTGATGCAGCATGATCGACTGAATATGGCTTAAAATCTCTAGAATGACTTTCATATAAGTATTATATACACAGCAATTCACACATTTCTTACTAACAAAATTACAATCTTTCTCATCATGGTCATTAGAACATAGCGAGCACACAGACTTATTTTTGCAATCTTTTTTCACATGA